CCGTCTCAAATTTGCATTTCAGTTCAGCTTTTTATCTGTCCCAGCTTTGATCAGGAAGTTGAACCAGAAGCACAGAGAACTGTGTGATAACTCATTCAGAAATTTTAGAGACAGGCAGGAAGGTTATAACATCAGGGAGGACACAGTGGGCTATCCCACGTTCATAATCAGAAAAGCCCAAAGCAAATACAACAAGGTATAACATGTTCGTATATCTAACCTCTTTTCCCATTCTTCCCACTTGCTTCAAAGCAAGTGACCTTGACCCAGCTGTCTACTGCGAATGATCTGTGGCCTATCCACTTCCTGAACATGTCTCAGTACTCTTTGAGTTGTGCTTTTGGCGTGGCCACTGAGCATTCAAACTGTTAAACAGCATGGGCAGCCACAGGACTGGACAGAACAAAACCAGGGAGGTGGTGGAATCGCCCTCCCTGGCAGTGTTCAAGAAGCAACTGGCTGAGGAGCTACGAGATGTGGTTGAGTGGGTTGTGGTAGCAGTGGTAATGGGAGGATGGTTGGAGTAGATGATCTTGTAGGTCCTTTCCAACCTTGTGATTCTATGATTCTAGGACAGGGCTCAAGCCAGTGCCCTGGACCTCTGTAGTTATTGTTGGGATTCTGGGCAGGACTTTGCAGTGTCTTCTTAAACCAGCCTGAACCAGTTCAGATATTGCCTATTTATTGACATAACTTAGAGACGTATTTTTCACCTCCTTGATATTACAGAGAGAGGATAGCAAATGTTATTCTAATAAAAAATGTCAATCTACCAAGATGGAGGCTGCATGTGCAAGGTTTATGAGGGTGAGCTTCTTGTGCAGCTTCTGGGACACTTTTCACCATTTCTTCTCTGACTGTATGCACTGTGCTACAGCCATTATTTGGGGTTTTTTGCATACATTTTGTCTTTCACTGCATTCTATGCAGCAGATTGTTTCTACTCTGTTTCTGATCCTTCAAAATGTCTCCAAATCATAATTTTTTACATTTCTTCTTTTAAAACAAATGAAAAACTCTTAAATATTTACAGAATTGCTCACTATATAGTGTGTATATTTGTGTGTATTTGTGTGTATATAGTGTGTATTTGCACACTGTTAACATAGGACCAAATTGATTGTTAACTTGAAAATGTTAGAATTCTCCTATGTTGTATAGAGCTTGTGTTCTCAAAATAGCTTTTGGTAAACCCCTTATTTTTGCACAAAGTAGGAAAAGAAATTAATGAGAAGAACCTTAATTTGTTCACTGAGGGCTCAGTAGGTTGGCCTTATTCTAAAGAGAAATACCATTATTATCTTCTGCTATCACACTATATGTAGTGTACAGTAGACTAAATTAATATGATAAGACTTTTTTCAATCTGAATTAAAATTCATTGAATTCTGGATATTACGCAAAGTGTGTTTTCTAATGACTTAAAGTCATTTTACCTCCTCTCCCCGAGCTCCTCACACTTTACCACAGGATTTTCTTTTCTGATGAATACTATCAAGCTTTACTGACATCTCAAGAAGTCTTAAGGATCCATTATTCCCATTGCTCCAGACACGCAGGGGAATTATGCAGTTTCTCACTACAGACACAGATTGAGTATTTTATTTGAATTGACAGGTATACTTTCAATATTTACTAAAGATTTAATCTTGACCGAAAGATTTAAACTTACAATTTATTTATTTTTTTGTGTGTTTTCACAGAAAGGTTTGAATTTGGGAATGTAATAAAGATCTTCCCTTATGCCTGTTTGGTCCTGTTTGTTTTCATCATAAAGAAGCTGTGAGACTAAGTAGGTCTCTAATGATAAACATCAATCTTATCCACTTTGCTTTTAGGTTGTGTTCCATAAAGCTTTTTTATCAGCAACTGAATCTTAACCTATTTAAATAGATAATTATTTAGTGCAAGATCTTACAGATGCCTTTTAAAGCAAAGTTGTATATGTTGTATATATGTTAATGTGCTTTTTTTTTTTCCTTTATATATTATCTTCACCAAGCACTGCGTAAAATAGTCTTTTTTAGCTAGAACTGGCAATTGCCTTTATTTTGCACTGAGGGGTTTAAAACCTTTTTGTTCTGATGTTCTGAGAGTGCCCATTGCATTGCCTTACGATCTTCTGGACAGTTCTTACTTGTGTTTTTACGTTCATGGCAAAAGTGCCATTGACTTCTTCTAGAGCAGTAGGCTTTCCCTTCATTCTTTCTGTCCACCCACTCAACTTTTCTTTTTACTTGATGTTTTAGTAAAGTTATGAGGACATGTTTTCATAACAAAAGTTAAATTTTTTGTATGTCAGTAATTCGCTCTCCAAAATTTTCTATTTGGAATAGCAATGAGTAATATTGCAAATTCTTTTGTAAATGTTTTGATATTCTGAGATTTTGTTATGACTTCTGTCATGACCCACAGACTGCTTTGATCTATCTACCCCATATTATCCATACATTCTTTTGCTCACAGGTTAGTGTAAAAATACCTTATTACATCTTACGGTCAATAAGAATAGAAGGGTTTTTTTGTCACATATAAAAGGGGTTTTTTGTGCACATGTAATAGATTTATGTCTTAAGTAAGTATCAAAAGTTTATTACTAGGTACTTACTGAATTAGAATGGGAGCTTTGCAATGATGCAAATGACTCAAAAGGCATTGGTGTCACTTGCACAGTGAATTTGGAGATCTTTTTTCAGTATTGTGTAAGTATGAAAGATGGTATCATCAACCCTATACTATTCCAAAATGCTTGAATTATAAATTGGAGGGAAAAAAAATCAGGCAGAAGAACTGAGCAGCAATGCATCTCAGAGATGTGTTTGGGTTACTTTATTTTTCTCTTCTCCAAAAAAACTTCCTACCTAGTTTTGTCTCTGTGCCTTTCTTAGCCTGTGTCCCCATGAGTCATCTTGTACCAAAGATCAACTAAAAATAGGGAGGGAAGAACTCTGGAGTCTGTGATACGTGCTGGGAGTCAGAAAAGAACAAGGCAGTAGTAAAACTCTCCTGTTCCAACCCAGAAAACTGAGGCAGACCTAAACTGAGAGGGCCTTCCTTTGTATGTTTGAGAGATGGTCACTGTCAGCACTTTAAGCATAGAGTATGTGTTGTAGTAGATGGTGATGTTTATTTTCAAATTGTCTAATGGCACTTATCTGTACTAATGTAACATCGCCATAACGAATGTGCATATGACTCAGCTGAAAATGCTACTTATCACCTACTAGAAAACTTGTTTTCAAAATGGCTTTACTTTTCATCTGTGATATTTTCGTATTGCCAAGCCCTGAGTCATCATTATTAGCTGTTGCTAAAGGGGGAAAGGAAGAGTTATAGGGGTTACTATTTGTATTTAGCCTGTTCTGACTTAAGTAGTGCACATTTTGTAAAATAGTAAACGGAAAACCTCCTTCAGTTGGTGATAGTTCAAATCTTAATGAAATGTTCACGTTCATTTCTCTTCAAGGAGAGATGCAATCACCAAGAAGGAAACACTTCATGTTAAAATTAATCCAGTGTCTATAAACTAATGATGGGGTAAGCCTTTTTATGATAAAGCATCACTAATTTCTGCAGCAATATAAAGCAAATCAGATGGTCATAATAAGGCAGGTGAGAAAAAGGGTATGGGGAAGTTTGCAGGGAAAGCAGCAGCTGTTTGGATTTTCTGAACTTCCCAGGCCTAAAGGTCTATTTGCAAGTAGTTCAGTAATTGCTGTTCGGGGAAAAATGCTTGAGATAGCAGCTGCCTGCCTGATTTCTTTCATTTCAACACTACTCATGTTGGGGTATATTGCCTCAGTGAAGCATGCTGGCCGTCTCCCAGCAGAACCCTTGAAGCTCTGCTCAAGTTGAGGAGATAAAGTGCTGGGGAGGCAGTTAATCTCTATACATTTAGACTTCATTTTAGAAGAAGAAATTCTCAAACCACACCCATTTGCATGCTCTCCTCATTCATCTGCAAGACCCTCATCACCATAAGGTATGCAGCATGTATTCAAGAAGTAGTTGGTTTTACTTGGATATATAGCAAGGCCTTTAGTTCTTTCAGTCATGCATTTTCTATTTAAACTATAAAAATGTAAAGTCTAGGGCTTTTTTTGTTCAGGTTTTGTTAAAAATTTCTTAGAAATCTCTAGGGATGTTACTGAGAGCTCTTGCATCTCAGATGAAAGAGCAAGGGAACTTGAATATATAACAAAGCCAGCCTTGGTCCCAAATGCTTATCAAGCTGTAATGCTTTAAAAAAGATTGAAAGCTTTAAAAATCTTTCGAAGAACTCTTTCCCATCCAATTGCTCAGTTTCTGTATTTTGACACTTTCATCATCATGTCCCCAGTTATCCATTTACCTTGGAATTTTCCATTGATACAAGTTCTGAATAGCTTTTTCCTTTTGCCTTTTTCTCTCCTCTGAATACAAGTAGATAAGGGAAACAGACTTCTTACAAGGGCCTTTGCTGGCTTCTTTGCAGAAATACCATAAAGAAACAGCGACTAACAAAGCTTGTGCCTAGTTCTTTTCCCCTTTCACCTTTAATTAAAAGTTGAAGCTTAATACTGGCATCTGTTTTGAATATGCTCTTTTATGAACATATACTCCAAGCTGCTAAGGGAGCAACTGTGAGCATTCTTCCTTTTGCATGGTTGTGAGCAGCTATCCTCTCATTAAGGTGTTAACATTAGAAGCCATAGGAAACTAGTGTACAGCTGTGAGAACATGTGGTGAGATGTGTTAATGGCTTCATGTTATCTCACAGTAATGGTGACATTAATGAGTCTCCCTCGTAACTCAGAGAGTTTGCACACTACTGTGTAGCATCCCTGAATTAATTACTGAATTTTCATTCTGTAATCTATAATGGCATTATGTTTAGAGCTGTCTAGAGACATTTGTGTATCATTTATCTGATAGACAGTAACAGCTTTAAAAATTCTCATTAAATTGTTAAATGATGGATATCTTTTCATTATTTCTCCAAACAACCATAAAGACACGAATAACAATTGTTACTAAGGATTTTATTACATATATTTATTAGGGAGGTTATTGGAATAAAATAAATGAAAGAGTGACCTTTTTTATTTGCCACCTTCCCTTATTGGAGATGAGACCATCCGCTGTGATCTTTGTGAGCACCTCACAGACATGAAAGGCACGAATTCAGAAGCGCTATTTCAGTACTGGTTAGTTGGCTCTGGTTTGCTTTCAAAGGCAGGAAGAACCTGTCAGTGGAAAGAAAAACACTAGCTAAAGATCACTGCTGGTACTTCAGCTCTTTATTGTCTGTTATTTATATCGCAGTCATGCTGAGATGGCCTGCCATTGTGCTGTAGCTGCACAGAAGTATGGTGATGGCTGAAGATCTTTTAAGTATGAATAAACAGTGCAGAGGGTGAAAGGAAGGACAGAACATTGTGAGTAGGTATGCTTACATTGAGCAAGCGTGATGGCAAACAGAACAGTGTTAGCATACCTTCCTTAGGAACTAACTAGTAGTATTGCAACAGTGGCTTTACACACTGCTTGGGTGCTCTTCTTGGGAGCTCTGTGCTAAATCACCTTCTTCCCAGATGTAGTGTGGGGAATGTCCCACTAAAAGATAATACCAATTCTTATTTTAAGTTATTACTAGGACAGTGCTGTATGACTGCCTTTAGCTCACAGAAATACCATGACCTCCCAAATGTTCATTCACGTGATACGTAAAATGTGGTGAGAGTCAATACATGTTTTATTTTTCCTTTTCTTCTTTTTTCCCCAGGAATTTGGAAAGTCCTGGGAGGAAGTGCAGTCAGAGGATGATCGGGAATTACTAGATAACCTTGAGGAGTAAGATCTATTTATGTGCCCTTATAAAGAACTGTAAGAGCATTACTGTTGAAAGCACTTACAAGGAAAAATCCTGTGCATCATTAGTACACAGTTAAAATTCATTTAAGCCAGTGTAATCAACTCCAAATTGTTTTCATCAAAGGCATTTCTCTTCAATGAGGGCTATAAATTTCGTACTTCAACCACAAGCCTATTTGTTAATTTACACATAGCTCCATCATCTTTTAGGTTTTACAGTGTTGTAGGCAAAACCTTTTATTTTGTACTTAAAATTGAACTGGATTTTCTCAGATTTAAAATTAGGTGTAAGTTTGAAGTAAATTTGGTGGTGCTGACTGATGACAAAATCTGCCCCTCCTCTGTACTCTTCTTGGCTCCAGGCTCTCTGATTACTACAAAGGTGTTTTCCTTGACTGCAGAGAATTGGATAAACAGGGAGTGGTTTGTAGGCACCAGGCTCCCTGACCTTCCTTAAGCTTAATTCTGTTGATTAAAAAGGGAGTACAGTCATATTTTCATCTCTATGCAATACTGTGAATCTTAACAGACGAGTGCTAGTGTTTATTCTCTGCATGCATATCTAAATGTGGCATAAATGAGTGGCTCAGAAATAATATTTGATGAATAAATATCAGACTGATTAAAGTGTGTTTGATGCTTGTGTCTGTGACTAACGTATTGAAAGACTAGAAAAGTTTGAAAGACCTTATAAAAATAAACTCTGAAAGCAATTTTTTATAACTTGCCAAGCTGATACCAAGAAGGTAAGACCCTGATAGTAGTGGAGGGAAGTTGAAGGACTGCGTACTGCCTGCAGCACAGGAGGTACCCAGCAATAACTGCTCCGTTGTTCTCAAATTTCCAGGTTTGTTTTTTTTTTTTTAGACAGAAAACCAATTTCTAATCATATATTCAGCTGTAAATCCATACTTTTCCACTCCCTCAAAGTATTTTGTTTCTCTGGATTTATTTATTGTGCTGTGAAAGCAGAATCTGTAGTGCTCTTTCACAAAATGTCTCTTCTCTTTTCCATGATCAAATGATTATTTTTTTTAATTCTTAATTATAAGAGACTGGTCTGACTGGGAAGAGCACCCTGTGTGTGCAGTTTGCCTGTTCTGTGAACAACAAGCAGACACCACAGAAAAGCTGCACCTTCACATGCAGGTAAGACTTGCAGTAATGGTTTCATACTGATGCTCCACCAAACCACTCTGTCATTTCCCCCTCTTCAAAAACATAGGGAGAGAGAATGCATTGGAAAAGGGCTCAAGATAAGGATATGGAGATCACTCGCCAATTACCATCATGGGCAAAACAACCTCAGCATAGGGAGATTAATATTATTGCTTGTTGCTTATGGGCTGAAGCAGTGAGAAACTGAAACAAACTAAAAACACCTTCCCCAGCCCTACATCCCCTTCTGCTCCTCCTCCCGAGTGGCACAGGGGAATGGGGGCTGCACTCAGTCTATATTGCTTCTGTGGTCTCCTCCACATTAACCAAATACTGTTAAATATCAGTTCTTTCATCACTTTTGAATTAAAGAGTAGGACTGTAGCATCTTTGTTAAGATCAGTTCAACTGCTTAACTCTTTCTTTAGTGCAGAACTAAAGCACTGCATCTGTAGCACCTACATCTACAGTGTTCAGTTCTACAATGAGACTATGAATAGCTGGTACTTTTAACTGTATAGACTGATACAGACAATAAAAAGGTGGGATTTTTAATATTGAAGTGGCTTAATGATTTAATACGTTTGATTGTTAGCATCCGTGTTTCAGTTTTAATATACTGTCTAACAGGAGCATTGCTGTTTAACAGAATGTGAACGTTTCTGATGTGAGAAAACATTTGGGGGGGTTATACCATGCATTCATGTCTGCATATGTCTGTGTCACTCTATGAAAAGCTGTGTTTAATATGACTTAGTTGAAATAGCAGAAATTAGATTATTTTTTTTTCTTTTTTCTCCAGGAATCACATGGATTTGACTTTCTTAAAATAAAATCAGAGCTTGGTGAGTAAGAGATGCTGTACTTGTCAGCATTTGCTGTTAGTGTGGAGAAAACCACATCATAAGAGTACTGGAAAGAGACTGTATCAATTTGATTTCTATATGGGCACCTAACTTTCCCATTACAGATACTGTTTCAGCTGGCTTACAGAAGACAGCCAAACCACTATTTTTCTGGAACTGTTGTTAGTGCCAAGTATGTGTGCTATTTTCTGTACAACCATTGGATTCTTTCAGAGTAGCCCCTACAAACAGCCGTTCTGTAAGTCTCATGGCTGGCTTCTGCAGCCTTGGAATAATCATTACTATTAAGATTATTATTATGCCTGTTAAGACTTGCTTGCAGTTTAGAAGGCTGGGGTCTAAGCTTTGTTTGGCCAGTGTTTGCATTCTGCTGTAGACTAGGAGTAAGCAAGCTGTAATTTTTACAGTAAAATAAGAACTGGTTCCCCTTCATCTAAGAAGAAACATTTGTTCAGTTAGTTTGCAGTGCTGGTCTTCAGTAACCCTTATCAACCTTTATGTTTAAATCAAGAAAGCATTTGTAAATTAAATTTGATATCTCTTAAGTACTGATATGTTGCCCTTTCCTTTAGGTCTAAACTTTTATCAGCAAGTGAAGCTAGTGAACTTCATAAGGAGAGAAATCCATCATTGTCGTTGTTACAGCTGCCAGGAGAAATTTCAGTCTAAAGGAGGACTGATAAGTCATATGGAAGAGACAAAACACATTACATTCCTGCCAGTCAAGTCTACCTGGGACCAACCACAGTAAGGACAAAGATCTTTCTTCCAGCATTTATGCCGTTACTTGATAATGTCTGTAAAGCAGTAAGCTGAAAGTTCTGGTTTTTACCAGTGCTACAGTGCTCAGAGCTCAGATGAGAAATTGTGTTAAAACAGCTCAGAATTAGAAATCTCTGTTCTGTCTGAAGCTAAAATAAACGTGGGGTCCTGCTCTTTCAGTTGCATGCTGGATTCAGTGTCACTATGAGTTGTGCCTGCACTGTCAGGTTAGTATGCAAGAGAAGTTCGTTGCTGCAAAGTGGTCTTTTGTGTGTGTTTGCTGCGTGTGGCATGTATGTCACTGATAGTAGAGATGTGCTGTGGATACACAGAAACACTAGAAACAAATCAAACCCCTTCTTGTGCATATCTAATGTAAGTATCTGTATAGTATCTACCTAATTTGAGCTCTTTACAAGTGGTTTTCTCTGTAGCAAGTGGAGAGAGAGCATAACATACCACTGATTCAGATCGTAAGCAGGCTTCACAAGCCTAGGGGTTGATGCCACAGGGACTGTTCTCACTTAAAAAATCTCAATTCAGTGTTTGGTGTGGGATGGATCTGGATCTGTGGCTTCACTCGTGACTGTGTGGGGAAGAAATATTGGGAAGGCTTGTTGCTGTCTCTTCTGAATAACTTCTAAGGTGTCTGTATCTGCTGATTTTTTGAGCATGCTGCCTACTCATTGCAGACAACCAGACTTTCTCATTTTTCTTTTTTTTTTTTTTTTTAATTCAATCTCAAAATAAATCCAACCTACTTGAACCAGAATATGTGACTATCTAGTTATATTCTATTCTATCACACCTTGTTGCTTCCAGGTATTATTTTCCTACCTATGAAAATGATACACTCCTCTGTACGCTGTCAGACAGTGAAGATCTGATACCTGAGGATCAAAGTGAAGATGTCCCTGTTGTAAGTGAAGATATATCCAGTCTAAAAGCTCTCAAACAGAGCAGCGTTTTAAACCAGCTACTGTGTGAAGAGAACAGCAGCCATGATAAAAGTTGACCTCGAATGATCTTTGAGTGTTTCTCCTGGAATACAAAAAATACATTCTTTCATTCATATTGAAATATGGTGTATATGTTATCTCTGGACAAATATTACATGTATGGAAATGCTAAATAAAATTTACATGTAAACTTTTTTGGTTTTATCTTCCTTTAGCTTACAGCTTTGTTTTAAAATTAACTGCTGGATTTTATGCTTGGTTCTTAGAATATTCCTGGCATTATTCACAAATAGGATTTTTCTTCTATTCTTTCTGAATCTGTCAGAATCAAAGTTCTGTAAGGCTATTTTGTAAAAGTCATGAACAATTGAGACAACATGTCTTCATTCATGAGCCAACCCGTTTTAACTCTTGATCTGTTACATAAAGCATATTTTGCTGTTTTTAAACTTAGACTGCTTCAAAGAGAATGTGGCACTGTTATTCATTATTAATATATAAGATGCATAGCTCCTGTTCTTAAAACTGGCTCAGAAACTTCAGTAAAGCTCTCTCTGGCTCATGGATATCTGACTGCATGGAATGCTGCCAGTCTGAAGCCTAAAAATGTATTGGAAAATTTCAATCTTGGTAGAATCAAAAATCCACAGACTTCAAAGTAGACTTCTTCTATGGTCATGAACTGAGATACCACTATTTTAGGAGATTGTAGACACATAAATCCAAATTAAATCCTCAGAATCTTTATTCAACTGTCCACTAAAGTTACTGTGTTTACTTTAAGACAGAACTTAAAAGTTCCCCAAGTTACAAAAGGTCTTCAGCATGTTCGGAAGCACCCCAGTGTTAATAGAGCAAAGCAGCTCATAGTGTAGCTCACAGCATAGCATGATCAAAACTAGATATTCCTACCTCCATTTTTCCTCTTCAAATTTTATTTGAAGCAGTTCCAGAGTTCAGGTTTGGCTTCCTATAAAATGCTCAACTGCTTTCAAAACCGCTGGCGCGTTCCTTTTCCTTCCTTAGTCCAATGTGTGTGAGTCTCAGCTCAGTGCCCTTCCCTGTCTGAGAAGAGTCAAAGCCATAGCTTTACCTTTGCACACTTCCCTTTACCTGAAATAGATGGCTGTCAATGAGAGTTATTATTTGTCGTTATATGGTGATTGAGAATTAGATAGCAGTCCCTAGGAGCAAGAGCTAAAGCTCAGACCTTTATGCATGTTCTGGTAAGCTTCCATATCTAGCCTAATTCACCCTGCGATATATTTGGATCAGTTTCTTTTAACTTGTATTGAACTTGCATTCTCCTGGCGTTACTCATCACCCACTGGCACTTCTTTTTGCTTCCCCTTTCTTATTTGCTCTTAGGCCCAGGTGCTCCAAAGGTAAATTACACCAACCAGATGCCGAAAATGTATTGTGAAAGTCAGAGCAGCCTCCTGACTGCACAGACAAGCAGGCAAAGAAGCAATTTCTCACTCTGTCAAGACAAAATGAGATAGAAGTGGATCAGCAGGTGCTGAGAGTGCAGACAAAGGAAGGGAGCAGGTGTAGTCGCATACATCTGCATTGGCTTTGATTAAACAGGTTCAACAATTTTGGGGTTGTGGGTTTTTTTGTTTGGTTGGCTGGTGGTTTAACTGGAGCATCCGACTGTCTAAAATAATCTGTAGTCTGTACTTCTTGTAATTATATTAATTTCATGTAGTGATTGGCTGTTGCTGTTGATTTTTTTTTTTCTTTTAAATAGTTTTCTTCCAGAACAGCTACTATTCTTCCTAAATTAGAAATTGATTTCAGTTTTTTCAGTCAGATCTTCAGCTGAGGTGGAAGAAAGAGTTGGTAGGGTTTACATTAACAATATGAGTGTTGAGCAGAGTTAAACATCAGTGAGGGAACTACGAGTAAATCAGCAGCCCATGGATGTGTTTTATGGCACGTCCGTCTCAGAAGGGCACACTAAGGGAAAGATAAAATTTTATTGATATACCATAAAGTGAAATTGCAAAATGTTTCCTAATCAAGAGAAATGTCGTGCTGAGTCACTCAAGTTCCTACAAAGTGAAATCAGAACTATTAGCAATATGAAATTGTTTCTTTTCCTGCTTCTAACAGAAATCTGATTTTTGTGATTTTTCAGGGTAGAATTAAGAAAGGATGTCAAGATGTATTTTATAAATAACGTGGGTTGCTTGACTTTGAGTAGAGAAGAAAAGGTACACATGAAAAAATGAACAGCAGTGTGTTATTTCACTGAACATGGAACAGGGAACATGAGGAATGGGGTTAGAGCTGACCTTGTTACTTCAGGGATGCATGGTGGGCAACAGAGTAGTTTAGTAAGTTCAAAAAGTCAGGATACAGTTTCTAGAGTAAAAATTCAGCGTCTTCACTTAGCATGAAGATGTTTCTAACTGGGTTTGCTAGAGCATACTGTCGTTGTATGATGACCACAATTTTCCCAGAGGATTGTCTTCTTGTCTTCTATAAAAACACGCAAATCAGTATCTGTTTTAAATCTGTAGTAATCTTGCCACTAAATAGAGGACACAGCTAAGATTGCAGACAGTGATACTGAGCTATTACATGAACAAATGCATACTTTTAACACAAAAGTATTTTTGGAAGTCTAACCTGTCCTTCAGCTTAGCAAGTCTCACTCCTAGATTTCAGTGACAGAAGCATTAAAAGAACAGTTCCATCACAAGCCATGGAATTAACCAAGTTGGGTCTGGCAACTGGGCTTTGAACAGTCAAATCAGAAGAAAGAGTGGTGCTGATTGGTATGAGAGAAAGCTGCACTAGTGTAATTCCAATGCACATTTCGTAACACAACACTTCCTTAGCTTAGATCCTCAGTCCATATGCATATCCCTTTGCTTTATCTGAAGCCATCTTCTTGTTCAGAAGAGTAAAAGGAGCTTTGTGTCCTGGTGACCAGTAACTTCTCCTGCTCACTTTACAAGCACCTTAATTATGTCTCTGTTACTCTTCCACACACAATTTATTCTGACAGTTCTGTGCAGACTTGATTTTTCTTAATGAGTCAGCAGTCACTGACTTTCATTTAAGACACTGAGTGTTTTCAATTCCTATATTACATTTGTCTGGCATGCTCTGAAAGAACTGTCAGTGGCTGCTCTCAGCTGCCTAACCAGTAAGCCATGTGCGAAACTCTGACGAAGGTCTCTGCAGTGCCTCTGCTGCTGTCATCTCTCAGTTCCATCCCTGCCTCTGAATTCTGGAGAGATCAGTGCTGGTGAGCGAAGTTATGTTGTCCAGAGAAATTTTTAGCTGCCTCAAATGTGAGTTTACGGTTTCTTTTCTCCAACTCTTGCTCAGGAAGATACAGGTAATAGGTTACAAACTGCCAGGTCAGTGGTTGTAATTACATTTGATATTTGCAATCCACAATCAATTCACTCTCTCTATGTGAAGAGTGGGGTAATATAGGATACTTACAACCAAAAAGATATCGGTCTTTTCTGTATTAATTTAGATAGAAACAAAGGCATCTCCTTGCTACAAATGTTCTTTGGAACACAATTCTCCACCTGGTTTACCATCCAGGGACCAAGGAGCTGCAGTGTGTAGATTATGTACAAACCTATTGTATAAACTTCTGCTAGAAAAAATCATTGTAGTGTATGGATCCTAGAGAGTCATTCAGCTCACTCTACAGTAAACACCTGAAACTTTATTCCGTTCCTCACACAGATGTCTTAGGAGTCACCTGAGATAGTTGAAGATATCCTGCTCCCCAGCCGCTTCTCTTAAAGGATGCTGGTCTCTCAGAGGTTTTTGTCAGCTCCATCAACTGTGTATGAGCATTTCAGATGGCACTGAGCCATGCCAAATTCTGAGCAGCTAAATCCAGCGCCTTTGGCTGATAGCTAAATATCTCTTTTAGGCTGTATTAACTGTAATGGAAATTTAGGCACCAAGGTAACATCTGACATCTGGACTTCTGCATTTAGTTATGCTAATTCAGAGCTGAATCCTATCCTACTGTTTCAATGTTCATTTGAACTGAAGGTGGACCCCGACATGGATCAGATGATTTGCCTTCTGGAGAGGAGTATTTTGATAGCCACACTGGACATGTGTCTGAAATTAGCCATTTCACCTCTGTTCTCACAACAGTTTTAGGGACAGGAGGATGACTGAAAGAGTGAAAGCATTACAGTGTGTTCATTCTATAAGTGATCTCCTGAGCTGAGGAATCTCGATTACAGTCCTCTGTTGAGGAGACATCTACTAAACAGGGATAGTCAAGTAGCTGGACAAGGTACTTTCCACAGGTAGGTTGTAACATCTTTGTCATTCTGTCCTTCTTTTCCAGCACTTAGCACGCAGAGCTCTACCAGACTGAGGCCAGCAGACACTATGACAGTGCAGTGATGTTGTAATGACAATTAAAAAAAAAAAAAAAAAAGCCTATAGTTTATGGTGATTAATTTAACCCAACTCTCGATATTACAGCAGTCTTTGTACCAACTCATCACAGAAGAATGCAATAGATAACACTTTAAATGGCACATCTCCTCTCTGTTGCCTTTGCAAAGGAAGGAGCTTGTAGCTCTGCAAAAACTGAGCCTGAAAAGACCCCAGTGAGGTGTGACCCTTAGGCTGGCAGCTCGAACCTTCAGCATCAAACAGGAAGGAAGAACAACACAAGGACTTAGGTGTGATTTCACGTTGCAGGATCTGCTGCTAGGTGTGAAACCTATGCCAGATATCAGTCATTTCTGTTATTTTTAAATCTATGGGCTAGTAGTTGTTCTTACAAATAGTTTGTCTGACTATACTGCAAAGAAAGTGCAAGGGCTATCAAAGGAAGTAAAAAGGTACTGCTTTTTATCTGCACTTGATGTTCCAGTATGCCCACACAGTCTTAGCTCTGCTGCAACCTTTCATCTGCAAGTACCCACGCCATTATAATTAAGCAAATGAGAGATGCCAGAACCCCCCGCCCTTCTTCTTGGCACCACGAGGTGCCTGGAAAGCAACAGAGGCAGCTCTTCGGTGTTATGCTAAGCATCTGAACACAGGTAAACTGCACATGTGTTTCTTTAGGTTAAAAAAATGCTTCAAAATTTCAGACTTTGAGGCAGCTGTGCAATGCATTTTTGTATCGTGTCACATCAGGATGTACTGAAATCCACCAGAAGAATTACAGGCAGATTTTTGGCATCACCTTAAGCCATGGCTCCATTGAATGTCTGGAGACTTGTTTTTCATTGCCATGGAAATATTAAAACAATATAGAAATAAATAATGCAGGAACTGCTGATTCCTCATTAGAAAGGCTATCTTTGTGAATTGCCTGCTACGTATTTGCAGAGTTGAATGTTGCTTTAACCTTGAAGTGGCTTTAGCTTTAACCTTCCAGTTCTGTTATGTCTGGTTTGCTACTTTGTGATGCACACCTGTCTGAATACCCTGTACAGATACACTGCTGTGAGCCTTCACAGATATGTGGCCCACTTTAATAACTGCTTACCCTGCTTGACATTTTGCGGTGAGTCCAGGTGAAATAAAGAAGAAACAATCACAGACATGGCTCAGCTTTGTGAAGGAGGCTCATGAACATGTGGCAATTTGGCCTTGTGTATTCCTACAGTCAACAACTTTTCATGCATCCCTTGACAAATGTTTCTTCCCTGTGTCTCAGTTTCCTAACCAGCAAGGTGATGATTGTGCAGTGATAGATACCAGATAAAAATGCCACATATCAGACACAAATACAGTGTATGCATGCAGCCAATACATATTGGTCAGGTTGTGGTATTTAAAATGCTTGCTTATCAGGTGGCTAGATTGCCATCAGAAAAGCTGTTCATTCACCAAGAAACTTCATTTTAGAGGGAATTCCCGTAAGTTTTCAGAATTTGTCTAACTTGCCATCACATTAAGTTTATAAGTAGAGAAATAACATTCTGAAGATGACCATCTGAGCTTCCAAGCATTCAGCTGCACACAGACCAGTAAGAAAAGGCATTGCAGAACATAGGAATGACCATGTTCCACACTGGTTTAGAAAAGACACTCATGATAACCTCCTCCAAGTCTTCAAATC